AATTTCTAAATGTGTTCATAAGGAGTTGTCAGTCAGTCTTTTGAAGGTCAAAATCTTCATACGGCGTGACTTTCCAGACTGATATATTGTAGGAAATTACTTACAGTGCGGAGAGGTAAATGCAAATATGCTTACACACATAGATTATGATTAGAATAAGACTCTGGGTCAGAGAGTCCCAAACATGATATTCTAAACCAACTTTGAATCGCTAGAAGAACAATGGATATTAACATTAGATTAACAAGGCCAGGCAGAGAGGTGTTTTGCTTTTCTGTCTCTTACAGACGAGGAAGCAGATACCAGATGAGGTCACGGAAATACGAGGATGATTTGGAGCAGACACCAAGACTGCCATCTCCGTGCGGAAAGAAGATAGCTGCTATAATCTGTTTTTGTCTCACTACACAATGTTGTACAGCTCACTTGAGGGTCATCCTTTTTGTAAAACATGCTGCTGGTTCACATAGAGGTCCACAGTGCCGTGTAAACTTGTAATTTCAACTGCCAAAAGCAAAGTAAATTCTTTTTTTAAAAGACAAACCTTTCTCCTGAGATTCCTTCCAAAAATTCTGAACACAACAATTTGGTGACCCCTGACATGATTTTTGTTTCATTCCTATGAAATAGGAGGATGAGGCCCGGGGTACAGCTTTCACTATCTTACAATGCTGTGACTGTAGCCATTCCCCAACACTCTGTGAATGGTACTGACGACAGCTGATCTCAAAACTGATCTCATAGCTCATTGTCAATCAGTTAATCAACGGTGCTAGTTACAGTCAGTATGCCAAAATACTGTTTACAAGGTTGGGGAATCCTGCAGGCCAGTCAACAAAAGGAGAGGGACAGAAAAATAGAGGAGAAGGAGAGGGATAGAGAAAGGGAGAGAGAGAGAAGAAACACTAAGAATCTGCTTTATAGTGCGTGTCTGTGAGTATCTATTTGTACACCTGTCCATGTGAAAACACTCTCCAAACCATCGTGTCTTTTAGACCCCATTCCTACAAAACTGCTCAAAGAAGTCCTGCCATTAATTAATTCTTCCATCTTAAATATGATCAACCTATCTCTAATAATCAGCTATGTACCACAGGCCTTCAAGCTGGCTGTAGTTAAACCTTTACTCAAAAAGCATCTCTAGACCCAGCAGTCTTAGCTAATTATAGGCCAATCTCCAACCTTCCTTTCATATCAAAAATCCTTGAAAGAGTAGTTGTCAAACAGCTAACAGATCATCTGCAGAGGCTTATTTGAAGAGTTTCAGTCAGGTTTCAGAGCTCATCACAGCACAGAAACAGCTTTAGTGAAGGTTACAAATGATCTTCTTATGGCCTCTGACAGTGGACTCATCTCTGTGCTTGTCCTGCTAGACCTCAGTGCAGCGTTCGATACTGTCGACCATAATATCCTATTAGAGCGATTAGAACATGCTGTAGGTATTACAGGTACTGTGCTGCAGTGGTTTGTATCATATCTATCTAATAGACTCCAGTTTGTGCATGTAAATGGAGAGTCCTCTTCACACACTGAGGTTAATTATGGAGTTCCACAGGGTTCAGTGCTAGGACCAATTCTGTTTACATTATACATGCTTCCCTTAGGCAGCATCATTAGAAGACATAGCATACATTTACACAGCTATGCAGATGACACCCAGCTCTATCTGTCCATGAAGCCAGATAACACACACCAATTAGTTAAACTGCAGAAATGTCTTAAAGACATAAAGACCTGGATGGCCGCTAACTTTCTGCTTCTTAATTCAGATAAAACTGAGGTTATTGTACTCGGCCCTGAAAATCTTAGAAATATGGTATCTAAGCAGATTCTTACTCTGGATGGCATTACCTTGGCCTCCAGTAATGCTGTGAGGAACCTTGGAGTCATTTTTGACCAAGACATGCCCCTCAATGGACATATTAAACAAATATGTAAGACTGCTTTCTTCCATTTGCGCAACATCTATAAAATTAGAAATATCCTGTCTCAGAGTGACGCTGAAAAACTAGTTCATGCATTTATTACTTCCAGGCTGGACGACTGTAATTCATTATTATTAGGATGTCCTAAAAACTTCCTGAAAAGCCTTCAGTTAATCCAAAATGCTGCAGCAAGAGTCCTGACAGGGACTAGAAAGAGAGAGCAGATTCCTCCTGTATTGACTTCCCTTCATTGTCTTCCTGTTAAATCCAGAATTCAAAATCCTGCTCCTCACATACAAGGTCTTAAATAATCAGGCCCCATCTTATCTTAATGCCCTTGTAGTACCATATCACCCTATTAGTTAGGGGCAGGGATAGCTCAGTAGGTAGAGTGGTGGCCCCATGATCGGAAGGTCGGGGGTTCGATTTCCTTGAACAGCTACCCTGAGGTACCCCTGAGCAAGGTACCGTCCCTACACGCTGCTCCCCGGGCGCCCAGTGGCTGCCCACTGCTTCACTGAGTGAATGGGTTAAATGCAGAGAGGGATTTTCCCCACGGGGACCAATAAAGTACACTTTCTTTCTTTATTAGAGCACTTCGCTCTCGCTCTGCAGGCCTACTTGTTGTTCCTAGAATATTTAAAAGTAGAATCTTCTGTGGAACCAGCTTCCAGTTTGGCAAATGGAGGGCGCCCTTACTCCCAGCATGGTCAACAGAAAACCGATTGGTGCCTATGCCATTCCCAAAATGTGCTGGCTGATGTCGGGGCAGCGTGAGTACGAGCAAAATGTTTTTTTTGCCGATGATGCCGCCCCGAACCACGATGCCACTCCGGGAAACCGCCCGTGTCACCCGTATCAAAAGCCGCTACTGGCCATGATGCATTGAGTTTTTCCTTCCAGTCACCTTTCTCACTCACTATGTGTTAACAGACCTCTCTGCATTGAATCACACCTGTTATAATTCTCTGTCTCTATTCCAAAGCATGTCTTATCCTGTTTTCCTTCTGTCACCCCAACCGGTCGCAGCAGATGGCCGCCCCCCCCGATCAGAAAAAACATGATTTCAGAATCATAGAAATCCACTCAACACTTTAATGTGCCAATGGAATTTATTTAGTTTGATATTATTACACAATTATTTGGGTATACCAAATGTGAATTATACAACATGTTTTGTTGGGCCCAAAAATACTACCATAGCTTATGTTGCAGTCAATAAAAGTAACCAGAGGTTGTGTTTCCATAGAATCAGCTGAACAACATGTTTGTTTGTTTTTTAGAAAAAAAACAAACGCTTTTATTGGAACTGTTTATTTTAACACATATTAGAAAGGCCACAGCGTCTATTAAAGGACTACAACTCCTGCCCTTCTTGGCTTATGCTGATGGTTGCCGCTGAGTGTGGGAATCTTGTCTAACAGCAGCATACACACAGTCTTGTGTTGACTCTCTCCTCTTCCTGTTCCCTCTTTTTACTCTCACTGAGGAGTAATGGACTGTAGCATCAGTCATCATCTGAAATTACAGGTATTTTAGAATTTATGTCATCAACTTCAACTCAAGTAAGATTATTGGAATAGTCAGAAATTACATATGTGCAATATATCTACTATTATTAAAAAAAACGTGTAAAATTATTCTAATATTTTGCAATATATCTTCGAATTTTTAATCAGCATTTCTATGTGGTTGGGTCGATA